GATCTGACAAGAAGAGGAAACGACGATCCAGCGTGATTGCAAGACCATTCGCCATCACAAATCTATCTGCTGTCGCGGCAGCACAGGACCAAGGCATGCCCACGATCTCAGTTCGGACACACTTCAGCAGTCTTGTGTGCCGTGCTTTCAACATGATCATGACCCTGTGCCTCATCGTCTGCCATGCTGAATAGTTTCCAAAGCCAGTAACATGGTCATGATCCAGCCACTCTGTCACGAAGAAGCTGCTGCCATCCAGGGCAGCCTCCACGACATCGTTCAAAGCCAAGCGCCGGAACTCTGCGGACCGTACGGTTTCTAGATGCTCCAAAAAGAAAGAGTCATGAAAGCCTTCAGAGACTTCGGAGCCCATGGGCTTCCCTTCGTGAACCAAGAAGACCTCGACCGACGTGAAAGCCACACGGTGGCAGACGGCATAGAGCCGCCGGGAGCTGTTGCTGTAAAAAATTCCATGATACACTTGGTCCGCCGGATCACTGCTGTATGCAACATGCCCCTGCCCTGGCAGGTGCTTAACAACTTGCAGCGCCTTGACTTCTTGCTTCTTGGAGTCCACTAAGACCACATAGTTGCTGTGGCTCCTGTTATCTCGACTGCCCTTAGCACCCAGCAGGGCACACTCCCAAACATGGCCGGTGGCCCCGAGTAGGAGTCCGCGATTGTGGTCCAGAACGGTCAAATCCTCGACGGGTGCTTCCAAAGCGGCCTTCCAACACCGTTCGGGCGGCTCTTGCGCGAAGCTGCCATGCCCAGGCCCGAACTCCAGCGAGGCCACCTTGGTGTAGCCAAGGCGTGCGCCAAGGCGCCTGGCCTGGTAGGCCATGGCAGCAAGCAGGGCAACTCCTGCGACACGGGCGCGCAGCATGGTTGCAGCGAGCGCCTCTAGAAATGCGCGCAGTCTATTTGGTTGAGTTGCTGCAGCTGCGGATGAACCATGATGCGATGGCTGGTTCCTAAAACTGACAAGTCTATTTCTGCTATGGACGGAGGCACTGTCACGCGTCCAGAAGTCTGCCAAGCGGCCCAAGGCCAGCATCGGACCAAACCGAGGCCAGCCTTCGCAAGAGTCTCTGCAGCAAGGAACTGACAGCAAGGAGACAAGGAGAGGACAGGGAGAGGGAGAGAGAGTTGAAGGGAGCTTGCAACATCCCGCAAGCAGCCCCCGTTCAACGACGGGTCTTGAAACGCGGCTCTGCACCAAGCAAGAGAGTAGCCGGCTGGATGCTGAGGCAGGGACAGAAGGAGGCTCAGGAGAACCGCGCGGCCAGGCCAGCAAAGCCTCCACAAGCCAACAGGCTCAGGGCAGCTCAGGATCGCATGGCTCCCAAAATCTTCTCTGCGGTAGCCCTAGGCCTAAGGTTCAGACAGGAGATTTTAGGCAAGATTGGATGCTCACAGTCTGCCAGCCGTACAGACACAAAGCATTTCGAGTGTAACTGGGAGCTCTTGGGCAGGAGCGACAGAAGAGTAGGGCCCCCTGCCTGCAAGAATTAAAACCAGTGCAGCATTCGGAACGGTCTTGCGCCATCGTGGGCCTGAGATTGAAAATGTTGAAGTTTGGAAGAGAAGTAAGCACAGGCAGCTCAACGGGATCGTGATCTGCTCCCAACGTTGCAACGGCTGGGTTTCCGTGGAAGTCCCGCCTATGCCAAGAGTCAGGATGCCACTCACTAGACAACAACGGGCCAATCTCCCCCGCGAAGATGAAAGCTGACATCACGGGAAAACGCTCGCAAAACAGAGATGTGTGCGGCCCAGATTCTTTTCGCTGCACTGGGCCCCAAGTGCTGCGCTGCCACTTGCTGTTGCCAGGCTTCTCCCAACATATGTGAAGCCGGCTTGCCCAGCACTGAATTACGCTCGTCGCAGTCATTGATGTTGGCGATACTAGTTAGAGACTTAGAACGTGACAGGGCTTGCAGCAGTCGATGCTCTCGGGCAACAACATGGGACAGCAGCACCTAATGAAGCAAGTGGGCCACGGCCACCGATTACGGTCATGTCTGCCCGAGCAAGATGTTCTATACAAGAAGTCGTTCTCACCAAACGCCTTGAGCTTGGCATCTCTTTTTGGTTTTTTTCCCCAAGAAATTCCCGCGCAGTGCCGTCAGCGAGGAGCTGTCGAGCTCCTCAGCAAGGTGCGGTCCCGAAACTCTGAAAGCAGCACCATAGGCGCCTGCCCTTGCCTGGCTGTCCAGGGCGGCAGCATACACTGCCGCACCAGGCACCAAGCGGCTCTGGCCAAATAGGCCCAGAACCCAGGCCACGAAGTGCACAGAACCCGGTTCAGAGACGCTTTCTGCGCCCAGCGCAGAGCCCAAAGCCGCACCAAGCAAAGTGGCCGTGAGGATTTCCGGCCTCCACCAGAACTCCTCACCAGGGAAGAGCCGGATTGTGCAGAGTCTCATCAGAAGCATGCTTCCGGCAGCCTATTCCTCTTTGTTGCCCTGTGCCTTCCTATTATGTTTGAACCGAGAACAAGGACGGCATTTACATATCCCCCCAAAAAGCATTTGGCCAATGCCGATGCCCCCTCACCTTTTCCTGCAATATTACTAGCACGGAGCTTAAACTGCGCGGAGCTCCATCCACTCCCGGCCCAAAGCAGGAACACCAATGGCCATTTGGAACCGAAGCTGACTGACTCAGTTTGGTGCGAAATCCCTGGGAATGAAATGGATAGCTTGTTTCCGCTCACTTTCACCCGGTCCTCCAGCAGGGCCAAGGCCACATGCCACTGACCTTTGCAAGCGCTCAATGCGGCACCGTAGGTGAAGTGGTTGTTTTGCAATCCCATCGTAGCCATACTGCGACATGCACTGAATGCATTTTGCCATCTCCGCCCCTTCTCCTGGGCACTCATCTCCAAGCTAACAGAGATTGAATCTATCCGGATGCTCTCTCGGGACATGCTCTGGCACAAACACAAGGCTGTTTCCCACTGCTGGCTGGCTGTGCATACTCCGATAGCACTGTGATAGCTGATCTGGTCCGGGGCGATGTGCCCACCCTGCATGGCATGCATGAGTGCCAAAGCACTCTCCCATGATGACTCACACGCTGCTGTCGCAGCATTGTAAGAAATTATATCTGGGGTGACCCTCTTGTCAGTCATGCGAAACAGAATTTGCAGAGCCTTCTCCCATTGGCTGCACTTCTCGCACGCACTCAGCGCTGCATTGTAAGTACAGGCATCTGGGCTTAACCTGAAATCCTGTAGAGCTTCAAGCAAGAGCACAGCCTCCTCCCAACGGCGTGCTTTCTCGCAGACACTCGCAGCTGTGTTGAAGGTGATCGTGTCCGCATGGCAACCGAATTCCCCGGTGGCTGCCAGCTGGGCCAGAAACAATGACTCACGCCAACCTTCGCATGAGATCGCTGCATTCAGAGTGACAAGGCCTGTACCATGCAGCCGCTGCTGCAAGATGCGCTGCCATTGTGTGCCACTGACGCAAGCAGTCACCACCGTCCCCGACGTCACGGTGTCCGGTTGCATGCCTCGCTGACCCAGGCCCATGAATGTGTCGAAGACCATCTCCCAACGCTGTTTTCGGAAAACGGCGCCGACAGCGTTGAGTGTCACAAGGCTCCGCTGTAAACCGTGGAAGCTCTTTTTGAAGAGCTCCAAGGCGTCGACCCAGAGAGATTCTCCCAGCGGGGTGCCACTGCCACAGGACGTAATCAGGGAATTCTGCGTGATGACGTCCGGCTGCATGGCACTGTAGCCCAACAGCCCAAGGTGGCGAAAAGCAGTGGCCCACTCAGAGCTCCGCTCACATGCAGTGATCGCACTGTTGAAGACAATGATGTTGGCCTCACAGGCCCATGTCCGCAATCTTTGCAACAGAAGGCAACAAGGCAGCCAACGGCTGGCTTTGGCGCAGGCATCGACTCCGGCTCCCAGGCTCATCACGTCCGGTGCTACAGTCCGGTCCTGTACATACACTCTACTGTCAAAGACTGCAGACATTCTGAATACGACTTAACCTGCTTAACCTGCTTCTAACCTGCTTCAACTTCGTCCTCCATGTTGCACAGTGTCGCGATGGCGGCTGGCCATGCCTTAGCGGCGGCCCTGGCACAGGCCCGCACGAGAGCCGTGAAGGCGACGACGTCCGCCTGGATGGACGCCTCCCGCTCCAAGAGGAGCAGACTCAGGGCCTCCTCCCAACGCCTCTGCCGTCCCAGAGCAGAAAGCTGGCCAGTGAGCCCACGTAGCCGCAAGTCATCTCTGAAGGCACAAGAACGCGAAGGCACTGAAGGCACCATGGACTTGCAACAGACCCGCTCGGCTCGAGCATCGGCAGAGGCTTCGATTGATCCAGAGAAGAGCAGACTCGGCAGTGGAACCGCACTTTTTCGCTGCCACTCTCTTGGCGCTCCCAGCGAGCGGCAGATCTCTGCTTTATCCTTGGTGTGGAGACAACTAGATCACATGCGACGTTATCACATGTGACATCTTAGCCTTGTGGTGTGACTTGAGTCTTGAGGCAGGCACACCATGCCGTTACAACAGAGATAAAATCGCATGCTCCATTGTGTGCGGTTGATGCGAATTTCTTATGGATCTAGGACTCAACTCCCGATGATCTCGAAGTCGCTGTTCTGCCACTTCCAGACGCCTGGGCTGCTGCCGAAGCAAAGGGGTTACAGGCATGTCCAATGACTGTTTCAGAAACATGCCGCCAGATTTGACTTGCTGCATGGCTTGAGCATTCTGCAAAAAATGTGTGAAAGCAGGAATTCTTCTCAGATGATCTGCATGACCAGATGCGCTTGCATCTCTTCCAACTCCACTGAGATGTTGGACCTGTATACGCTCTTACAGACTCGGTGCTGAAATCAACTTCCGTCATCTGTAGATGGATAGCGCATGCTTTTTTAGGAGTAGCAAAAGCTGTCATGAATTAATAAATACCAAAACCCGAATGCGCAATTGTTTCAACAGCCAAGCGTCTCGGGATCTGCAGCCTGCTGGGCTAGGAAACCGTCTCCGCAAGTGTAAGGTGCAACACGTGCCGAACAGCAGGCCAAAAACTCTCATTGCAGCTTGTATGTTCTTGCTCGTTTGACCGCAAATGCACCACAACATTGAGGAAGGCGGCCTGGGCGGCCTGGAGTGCACGCAGCTGCCGTGTCAGACGATCGCGCCGCTTAGACATCTCCTCTTGAACACGGGAACATGCAGTCAATATGTCAGGTGCCATCCGATCCCGAAGAATCACCTGCAGCCGGCTCCGCGCAGAGAGGTCTATAGCATCAAAGGGCTCCTGCAAAAGCCATCGGCGGGAGGATCGAACTGTCGTCTGTACAGAAAATATGACAAACGTACCGTAACACGGCCTGCAAAGATGTTCAAATTAGGCACATAATGACTGCGCTCCGCCACGCGCTGCAACCACGCGGGTCGTTCGAACGGCTGTTCCGCCTCGTCCTTCACCTCGCTTGGGAATGGGAGGGACCCCATACAGTTCAACCACTGCATAAGCCAGATCCATAAGCCCGGGCTCCACAACCGTGCCCTGCGCTTTGAACCCGGACCTAGGAGGTCAGCTCAGACGAGAGTGTGTCCCCCAACAAGCAGGACACGCAAAACGGCATCCCTCACCCGACAATCCTTCCGACTCGGAGATCTTCTATCTGCTGCGAAACTGGGCCCGAAGCTCAAAACGCTGGAGCTCTAAAAGCTGAAAGAACCCAAAGCCCGAAAATCGAGACGCAATTCCGCGACACATGAAGAACAAATACCCAACACGTCCAAAGAGGGTGGAAACCCAAGCAGATCGAAACAAAACTGAGCATGACATGCAAAAAGGTGCATGCGGCCCGCAAGCTGCTTTGGTGAGGCTTCCAAACTTTGCGCCTGTACCTCAGCAAAAACTTCCGCAGTCAAAACTGACATGGACAGCAGGATCTGTCCATGACTCACCTCCCACATTCTCGATCTTTGTTTCTGCCCTGCTGAACAAATACTTGACAATGTTCGGCTGCTTAGGCGGGATATAAATCTGAAACGAAGTTCCGAAATGTCCCCAACAAAATGGCAGCGCTGCGTGCCGTGACGTTGATGCCAAGTGACATCGAAATGTGCCACGCGTTGATGCAAACGGAGCTGCGATTCGATGAAGTTTTGTCCAGACCCCAAGGCAACGTATCTCACGGTGGAAGGACACTCTCATGGCTACAATCGAAGTGTACATGATGTACATGTGATGTGAACCAAACCAGAACTTTCTTAACACTGTCTCCATTTACGAATTCTGTGACGTCGGGTTGCTGCATGGTTACACTTCACTGCTTGGAGTGCATGTGAAGGCTGATCATCCGATCTTGATTCCTGGTGCTGCATCCAGCCGCTTGCCAAGTAGTAGTAGTAGTAGTAG